TAGTAGCGTGAAGCTTTGAACACTCTTTGTACGGCAGATTCGGCACAATGTTTTGCCTCATTGCGATGTTGCCTGAAAATTTTGAACAGAAGGGATCACTGCTCATGCTGGTGCAGCAAGACATGTAAGGAGATGGCCTGGTCACAATCCAGCAGTCATATATCGACAATCTCAAGCTATGACAACTCGTTACATGTGTCTGTAATAAAAAAGGGACTTTGCGATGGTGTGGGGAGCTCTTTGAGTGGTGGGACTGTGGAAATCCAGTTTGTTTCGCCCGTAACAAGTTTGTTACGGGCGAAACAACGTCCCTCTGAAACGTTTGGATATGCCTATGCAACACATTTCCTCAATTTCATGAACTGCAAGTATTCTAATCCAACATCACCCCAATCTCAGTGTAAACTAGTCTCCAAATGTGCCTGCACAAGACTGTCACCCCTGTCACCCGGCATTCACATTGCCTTAACCTCCTAAGCTTGTCGGGGTGTGACACGTGGGCATGAACCTTGTGACAATGGGCATTGTCACAAAGAAACTGGTTGCAATCAGAAATGCATTTTTCCTCATGCCAGGTTACCGACATCGGTTACCGATTACTGGGGACGGTTAACGGATAACGGTTCGCTCGGTAATCCTACCGACCGGTTACCCATCTCGTTAACTGGACCCGTTAGGTCGGAACCGGGCCGGAACCGGCCTGGAGTATGCCATTGGGATTGGGGGGAGCAGCTGCATCTGCACGCTTCCAGGCCTCCTCAATCACAGCTTCCTGTGAGGGAAGATTCACAATCTGCCGCCGTCGTGGAGAAGCCTGTTAAATTTTTCTCGGTCCGTTTTCTTCGTGAGGCCCAACAGGTGCCCCAGCACAGTGACCTGCAGGCAACATTTCAAAGGGAGTAGCCTATATGAGGTGTCTCCCGTCACGGGCTTCATGACAGCAAAAAGACGAGCAGCGTCCTTACTTTGCCGTTGCCATCTGTGAATTTCATATCATATATGCTTGTTGGGGACGCATCGACTGGTGCCAGACCGTGATGCCCTTGAAAGACGAGTTTCACCTGTGGATGTGAAGGAAGGGAGGCAAGGAAGCAGGCAAGCTTGGAGACGAGCATCTTCGCCACATTCTGCTTCTGTCGCCAATCCCTAATCGCTGCCAGCGTGTAGCAAGCTACATTTACCTTAGAATATCTTTAAGCTATTAAAGCTTAATCACAGTAACGGTACGGCCCCGTATTTACGAACCATACTCGTTAACTGTACGAACTCACTTTCTGGTACGCTATCACAACCTAGCGTACGGCACCAAGACTCCAGGAATGGAGATGGCGGCAGGTGGGCCGCATTTAAGCCACCCAGGTGAAGTGCTTCGGCCAGACACTTAACGTATCACTATACTAGTGTTCAGGGTTCAAGACCTTGCTGTCACCGTTCTCGACGTATGTCTTCGAATCCCGACTTCCCTTGTCTCTTCTCACGCCTAACGCTGGGTCGCCAATCGTGGACGAGACCCTCTACTTCCGCTAAAACAGCTAAGGTAAGAGACGGCTGTTACATTTTGGTATCGACGATCATTTGTTCGGTCCTCGCCTCACATTGCGCCGCAGCAGTTACTCGCCCATTGTCTGAGTCTTAGACTCGACTTTCTGGAAATGGTTCCTAAGCCTATAGCTAAGACTAAGGCTGTTTCTTTGAGCGATGCTAAGCACGTTCCTATTCCGCGACCGAAGTCTAAGACTACGGCGCANATTCCTGCCGATGCTACAACCGCTTCGGACCCACTTCGCGTTG